TTCAACTTTACGTTTATATGTTGACGCCTCAACAATTTCCAAGTTTGAAATTTCAGTACTGCCTGATTGATTTTCTGTTCAATAGACATCCGAAATTCTAGCTAAAAAGTTAATCTTTAGTTATATATATTTAAGCAAGTTTTAAATCCAGTGGGTATTGCTTGTCTGTTCATTTCTTTATTGGGTTTACATAATTTTCGAATGACTGAATGAAGATACATGCATATTTCAAGGTAAAAATATCGTAAATTGCTGATGCAATAAGATGTTATGCCACAAGATGGCTAGTCAGACATACATACGCTACTGACAACATGTACATCCTCATAATTACCGAGCTAGTTTGAATGACTCAGATAATAAAAAAAAAATCATTGAATATATATATTTACGCTTTTGTTTCGAATTTGTATCAATGTATCAAAATTTACAAAAATAAAAAAAAATGTAAACGATTTAAATATTTAGATCAAACTGGTTGTATTTCGTACAAACATGTTATGAATCATTGCAGCTTAAATATATACTATACAATATATATATATATATATATATATATATATATATGCTGAAAAATTTATTTCGGTTGAGTTCTCTGGGGGAAAAAGTGTGGGTTTGTAAACAGTGACTATTACGACTATTGCGAGACTCTTCCTTAAATCGAATCGGATTCTCTCAGTCACTGTGTGTTTATCTAAAAATAAATACGCTTAAATCCACCTTCATCCATGCCGTGCGCCAAAGGTTTAGCGGTGGAATCCCCGACTCAGGCCAAATCAGACGAGTTTGATCCTAGCTAGTGGTAACAGGAAATCTAGTTATACGGCGATACACTATGTCTGTGGATGATATATATATATATATATATATATATATATATATATATATATATATGTGTGTGTGTGTGTGTGTGTGTGTGTGTGTGTGTGTGTGTGTGTGTGTGTGAATATTGTCTGTGTTTGTCTTTGTGTACTGTGTGTAATTTTATATGTATTTTATTGTAATTTTATATATATTTCTATATACACAAAATATATATATATATATATATATATATATATATATATGTATATATATATATTTATGTATTATATTTACGGTGTTACTCCGTGTGTTTGATGAGACGTCTCAAAAAGTTTTCGTTCTTTTGAACTTTGAAACAAAAAATGCCCAATGTTTTTAGTGAATTCTGTATTCTAATGTAAAACCGCATAATATAAATAAATATTTACGGCTCTAATTTATGCATTGAGCACTATTTTTAAATTAATGCTTTGAACGCTGTGTCTTTCTGTATGTGCGTGTGTAATTTTATATATATTATATATATATATATATATATATCTATTTATATATATATAAATGTATATATATATATATATATATATATGTGAAAATATATAGAAAATAGGAATGGAATATATTTTAGGTTTTATATATATATATATATATATATATATATATATGAATAGTCCAAAGTTCTTAGTATTTTTTGTGTATTAGTATTTTTTTGAAAAAAATATTTGTTCCTTACTAAATTAGACAATCGTTATATTCGTACAATTTTATTTATTTAAAACCTGTAGTCGATTCCAAATACAAAAGCGGCCCTTTAACATAAGAGGTCCCATCTCTCCCCCCCCACCTCAAAACAAGAGCACCACGAAATGCATTAGAATATAATCCTTTAAATTAAATTTAAATTCTCTCTGTTAAGAAATTAAAAAGGGCTAAATTCGTTTCCATTGTTTTTTTTCTTTTTCAATTTGTAGGTCTGAAATTTTTTATTGAATCCAATGGAATAAATATCCATGAAATTTGTTTGTTTTAAAAATTGTCCTAAATTGAAATCACCATTTTTTTTTTTTCTGAAAATATAGTAAATTTTTATATATATTTTGTATATATATATATATATATATATATATATATATATATATATATATATATATATATATATATATATATATAACATTGTAGACATAGCTATGTCGAAGTGAATGTTTCTTGTTTGAAGGCAGTAAAGTGTCCTGATGATTGCGTCTAATTATAAAACTCACTGTCACTATCTTGTGTTGATACCTATGACCAAATTGGTTATATGTACCTATGTACTTGATATTGAGCCCTTTCAACCATAACTATAGCGTCACTTAAAATTATAATTTGACATATAATTTTATATATATGCTTCTATTTTGATAATTCCCCTCATCAAATAAATTGTATTATTAAGATGTCTTTCTCGATTTTATCTCATTGGTGAAAGATAGATAGATACATAATCAAGTATTTGTAACATATATATATATATATATATATATATATATATATATATATATATATATATATATATATATATGAACATAATTTTCTTTTCATTTAAACATTTGTATTAATTTTCTTTGCAACAATGTCGACGATTGAAAATATAACGAATTTGATAAGAGACAGAAAAAATTCTGTTGATCACATTAAGAAAACATTGTGCATTTAAAGTAAATAATACTTGCAGACGTTGAATGATTAATATAGATGGCCATGAATAAGAAAACAGAGTCTAATCAAATTGGAAAAAAAAAATGTTTCCCATTGTGAATATGAATGTTTCTTTTTGTCCGGTCGATTGTTTTTGGAACATGAAAATTTATGTTTTATTTTATTTTCTCCACTCTTTTGAGATATTTATTATAACTTGGCGCACACACATAGTAAACCGTGGTTGAAAGAAATTCTTTAAATTCCGAAGACATCGTTTTCCTTTATTATTGTGAATCCTTGCACAGATAACAAATTGTTCACGTCGCTGTTTTCATGCTTCCGATAGAGCAGAATCTCTCGTATCCGGAAACCTCATTCTGGAATCCTTCATATCCGGAATCCCTCAAATCCGGAATGCCTCATATCCGGAATCCCGCAAAACGAAATGCGGAAATTTGAGAATGACATTAGAAGAGAAAAAATCATCATGCAAGAGCGATTAAAATTTCTCGTTACATTATTTGTTTTGCATACGTGACATACTCAATTTAATGAATTTTCATTAACGTTATCTTATTTCTTTTTTCTTAAAATCAGTTCTGTTACATTTCACTCACCATAAGCTTATTTTTTTTTTACTTTAAAACTTTGAAATTAAATGTTAAACCAGATTTCAGTTCTTTTATTTTAATCTAAAATTAAAATAACGCCTCATATCCGGACTTTGTGACCAATTTCTCATATCCGGTTAAGTCCGGTCATCAGAGATTCTACTGTAATTTCAAATGATTGGTTGTTTAATAATTTCGAATGCATACATCCTGATCACACCGAGCTATTCATGTTTCAATTTTTAGTATTTGTTTTAACGTCATTTTAAAAGGTACAGGTGTTTTAAGATTAATACACTAGGAATACCTGTGAAATTGTCACCATTTCGCTATTACAATTATCATACTTCTCAACACTTCAAATGATAATTTATATATTTCATTCAAGGTCTATGATTACAAATCACCAGGAGTTTCTCTTATAGCACCAGTGCATATTTGAGCCAAACAACCTCAAAAAGTATATTTCAATAGCAATCATAAGTTTGAATACAGGGCATTATTAAAAGAAGTAAGAGAATACAAATTTAAAAAAAAAATTCAAACTGACTAGTTCATTCCAATCCGTTGAAAGACGTCAAAATACATGACAGTGTTAAAGTTTTATGTGTTTTCTTTTTTTACTTTGGTTTTACTCGAATCAAATTGCAAATTTGACATGCCTATACCTGCTCTCCCCGAAATCAAAACCGATTAGTCTATTATTTATGATGTAATAACTAGCGTTTGATCTACATGTTAATTAGCTAAGGAACTAGGAATCCAGCCTATGTCACGTCTGGAAATTTTTGACAACAATGGCCCGTGTCTTCTGAGGGAAATTTTGTACTGTCCCGAAGCTGTTTATGATATTCCTATCACGAAATCAGAAGTCATGGTGACCGAGAACTTGAAAGTACTGATCTTTCTAAACTAATGGCCTCTCCAGATTATGCAATCTCTCTCTCTCTCTCTCCGAATATAGGTGTGTTCTTTGAGTAGGTATCTTTAAAACGATAGGCTAGGCGGCAAAGCAGACGAAAGTTTTCGGAAACGAGTAATCGGCCATATGAAATAATTTCATACGGACAAAAGATAAAAAAAAATAATCAGAAAAAAGCAATCACCCACACGAGGGAAAAAGCAAATATGTGTGTAACGGTTATAGAGCGACCGATTTTGACGAATTTCTGAATGAAAATATATATATATATATATATATATATATATATATATATATATATTTTTGTGTGAAGAAATATAGTCTTAAGATGTGCTATATTCATGGGATAAAGTGCTCAATATATATATATATATATATATATATATATATATATATATATATATATATGTGTGTGTGTGTGTGTGTGTGTGTGTGTGTGTGTGTGTGTGATCACATCCGAATAATTACCCTGAAAGGATTTATAGAAAAGCGAGTCAACCTTGGGACTCTGGGATAGTTGCTGAAGCCGAGCTACCAGATCAGGACCAAAATTATTGCTGATTCTTCTTTTGATTATATCCAGGTAAATAGCATGGGCAGCGGACATGGGGGTTGCAATGTTCTAACCCTGGTCGCATTATAGATTTATAGATATATAATAGATATTATACGGGAAAAAAGTGTCTTGCATATCAAAAGTGAATCAACTAATATATATATATATATATATATATATATATATATATATATATAATATATATATATATATATATATATATTTTTTTTTTCGGCAAAAATCCTTCATTTATACATGTTTCATTAAAGACGATGGACAAGGGACAGCGGTTAAGCTTTTTCTCTAATTTTTCTTGTCTTAGAACAAGTGTTTTGTTTTTCTTTTTTGGACACAGTGTTTTGGACAGTTTCTACTAATTTTCTGCCCCAAAAAGACAACCTTTTTACGATGACAAGAAAAATTAGATAAA